AGTTGAAACTAGTTTATACTGAATGTCTTTGTTAAAACCCGTTTTGTCTAGTTAAAACTAGTTTTAACTTAAATTCATTTTTGACTACAGTAAATTCTAGTTTTAACTAGACAAAACCGGTTTTGTTTAGTTAATTTACTGCCGTACATGTTTTGACTTTAGATAAAACTAGTTTTAACTTTTAACATTAGTTAAAACTAATTTTAGCTACATAAATATGTTTGGGCGAAATAAAGTTATGTATGTCTAAAAGAAATGGAATGTCTAAAACAAAATGATACATGGAGGTTAGTCGAACGTCCGAAGGAAGCACAAGTTGTAAAAAATCGTTGGGTTCTTCGCAAGAAAACTAAAAGTGATGGAAGCACTCGTTTCAAAGCTCGATTGGTTGCAAAAGGTTGTGCTCAAAAACCAGGAATTGACTACGAGGAAACATTTAGTCCTGTCGCACATTATGACACCATTCGGGCCTTGTTAGCGGTAGCAGCTGCAAAGAATATTGGAGCAGTTTGACAGTTTGGAACAGTTTGACGTAAAGACAGCTTTCCTCAAGGGCATACTTGAAGAGAAAGTGTATTTGGAACAACCAGAGGGTTTCGATGATGGTACCGGTCGAGTATGTCGCCTGAAAAAAGTCTTATGGGCTGAAGCAAGCACCACGTTGCTGGAATAAACGATTCATCGGATTTATGAAGAAAGCAAGTTTTCTAAACAGTACTGCAGATTCTTGTCTTTTTTTTTTTTTTATCGAAACCAGAATAAAAGGCAACTCTTTATCGCAATTTATGTAGATGATGGTCTTATTGTCGGCAGTGACAAGAAAGAGATCGCTGATTTTCTTGAGAGCTCTACAACAAGAATTTAATATGACGGCAGGGTCCTTTCTTGGGATGAAAATAAAACAGTATGAAGATGGATCAATTACAACAAGTCAAGTAAATTACACAAAAAGAATATTAGAAAGATTCCAAATGGCTGAATCAAATGCAGTCTCAACCCCTGTTGATTGTGAAGAAAGTGATCTTGACGAGGCAGTGTCATCTGATATACCCTATCGCGAGGCAGTGGGCTGTCTCATGTATCTTGCAACTGCATCTCGTCCAGATATCGCCTTTGCAGTGAATAAAGCTGCTCGAGCTACAGAGAAACCAACTACTCAAAATTGGAATCAGGTAAAGCGTATATTTCGATACTTGAAAGATACTATGAACTGGGGCATCATTTATAATAAAGAAAAACTAAAAGTCTACAGTGATTTCGTTTTGCTGGTGACAAGAAGACAAGACGTTCAACAACTGGAATTATCGCGAAATTCTCGGATGGAGCTATATCATGGACTAGCCAATTACAAAAAGTAGTGGCAACTTCCACAACTGAAGCAGAGATTATCTCAGTAAGTGAAGGAACAAAAGAATTAATTTGGTTACAACGTTTATTGTCTGAATTGATTGAAATGCCAGAGCAGCCTTCAACGCTATATATTGACAACGCAAGTGCCATAAAGCTAGCAAAGAATCCGGAATTTCATCAACGGTCCAAACATATCGAAGTTCGGCACTTTTATGTATGTGAAAGATTTTTAAATGATGAACTCAAATTGGAGCACATTGACGGAAAGAATCAATTAGCCGATCTGTTGACGAAGCGGCTTGAAAGTGTCCGATTTGATTTGCTAAGAGAAATGATTGGTTTATGAAGATTGTAACCTTGTAATCATTAAGCAAGTCTTATTTTTTCTTTTGGAGGAAGTGTTGGAATAAAAAGAAAAAATATGAAAATCTGTCGCGTAGCAGTAGAGTTAACGTTTTTTTTATAATGTAAACAAGCCGCATGTAAGTCAGCCATGTCGATTTCTCGTGAAGTCCACGTGTAAATTTATTTATTTTAATAAAAAGTAATAGTTACTACGGACTCATATCGGTTTTGGCGACGAATCCTGATTATGTTTGGAAACGAACGTCCACCGTCTGTTAGATTGTAAAGGCCTACTGGTATAAGCTTTAGTTCTGCCTTTATTGTTAATAAGTGCACACTATATCCTCACTGATGGCGTTCTGGTCTGGAAAGTCACCTTGTATGATAGTTGATCAACCTGACTGTAGAATGACCGAGCGGTTTTTTCTTAATGCTCTTTCCGCCCTGTGGATCTTATAGCAGGCCCACAATGGGGCGACGGGTAGTGAGGGACGGGCCCGACATATTCGAACGGACTTCCCCCGAAAAATTCCTGTGGATTCCTTGACCCGTCCGGATTCGATCCCAGGCCCCCCAGAGCAGTGGGTTACAGCCTTGACCGCTTGGCCATCCGGCTTTAGCCGAGCGGTTAAGAAGGCAGTCTACTATTCTGGAGGACTCGGGATCAAATCTGAACTGGGGAAAACCCCAGAAATTTTTCAAGGTGAACCGTACGGATATCCATCGTGGGCCTGGTCGAATCCATAATAAGCTTGCTGAAAAAGAGTCTTAGTGCCCATAGGACAGAAAGAGTTTTTAAAAAATTTGGATTATCTCTAATAATGGTACCAGAGATATTGACGGTACAACGATACATTTAGAAAATCTTGCGTCCTAATGTATTGCTTTCCAAGCAAGGCTGGAAGCAATTTTCCGGTAAAGTAATTCTCGATGCACGTCACTAGGGTTTCTCTGAAATGTCTTTGCGATTTTGCCAACTTCGTTTGTCTACCCAATCTAGATTTGAGATCCATCTAGTGTTTGTAATATCAAATGGAACTCCAGCTTTAGTCGTCTACAAATGTGAAGAATCTGGTGCGACAGTTTGCAACGTCTTAGGCAAATCTATCGCACTCGCAGGATATAAAATGGCGCCTGTATTCAACCATAGCCGGACCGTATCGTTGCTTGTAGTACAAAGTACTAAATGCTTCTTTAAATTGTATCATTGGTCTTTAGAAAAGTTCCCCATGCTAAGAGATTGTAATCGCTTATTATCATGGTCATTATGTTTGCACTAATTAAATTTCATTCGATTACAAATCCTCTTTCTTGGTGCATAACTTTTTGTCAATAAGTGTAATTTTTACTCTTAATAATTTTTATAATCTTCCAGATTCATTACAAACAATATGATAAGTTGATTCAGATCGATAATACGAACAACTGAGGAATTCATATAATTTCGAAAACTGATAAATAAGCAAATTTCATAAATAAATTGATATTTATAATTTAATTAGTTTATTAAAATAAAATTAACGTGTACAGTATGAATAACAAATCACAATTTTTCAAAACGAACGAAGAGAGATATTTTAATTTTTTATCATTTTATCAACAAATTTTTCGTAATTAATCTGTCCATCTTCATCAACACCAGCCACTCTTATCATTTCTTTAGTCTCTTCACTTGATAATTTTTCTCCCAGAGTAGTCATTATATTATACAATTTGAACGAAGATATATAACCGCTTTCTTCTTTATCAAATAATCTAAAGGCTTCAATAATTTTTTGTTTGTTATCTATTTCTCTTATTCTTCTCTCCATAATGTTTAGGAACCCAAAAAGTTTATAATTTTAAATCCAACTGTATCTACGTCCTTCTCAATATCTGTGAAATTGAATCCAAGAGATCCATCCCATCAATGGACCGAGATCTGCAATATTAATTGTATCAGTTTTATCTCTATCAAAACGGTGAAATGCTTCTAAATATTGCGAAATTTGTTTGTCGTTCAATTTATTCTCTATTATTCGATTTCGTCTAAAACGTTCGAATAAAATCCTGATAAAATTAAGAATTTTATTTCAAAAATCAAAATTAATTATATAAAATTTATTTTAAAATATTATAAGAGTTATATGAGTTATATATATATACACCCGCAATGTTAAATTTGTAAATATTGTTATATATATATATTTTAACATATTAGGTTCATTTAGAATATTATCAATTTACTCCACCAGGTTTCGCATATTTGTCTTTTTAATACACAGCTGATTATGGACGAACTACATGGGGGATGACGTGGAAATGGAACAGTATATTTATAAACTAGAATGGATTTTAATTACTTGTCGAGCATTTCGCAATTTCAACATAAAACCGTTAAAAGTGTAAGTAATAAATGACAATTAATAATTTATTAGAAATACTTATTAATGAAGTATATTTAACTTTACACCAATCCAGATGGAAGACATATTTTCGATTAAAATTCAGTTTAAATTAGTGTTTTATTTTAAGATATTGAAATAACGTAAACGTTTATTTGGCTTGCGTAACTAATTTTCAAAAAATGTAATTTTATCTAATTTTTTCCCCTTTTTTCCGTATTATGTGACACAAAAATCTTTGGATCCGTTTCCTTTCGCTTTTATATACAGTAGAGACATTAAAAATAAATATGAAACCTGTTTTGATCAATTTAACAAACTCCTTCGTATGATAAATTTTTAAAAAATTGACATTGAGCAAGACTTGTATGTTAAAGTATGATATTGAATTAGAATAGTAATGACTTGCCCAAAAAGATTTTTTTTTAAATTAAATTTTCTTGTAAAAATGTTCATATTTATATCAATATCAGTATTAATAAATGGTTATCAAGTATTTATTTTAAAATGTTTATAATCAGTTTCTTAAATTGAGATAAAATATGTTTATATGAATTTGTATCTTGTATAAAGACTTTTTAAAAATGTTTTAGTTAATACAAAATTAAAAACATTACTTGATTTTAATAATTAATAAAATTGTCAGGATGATACATATACTGTACTTTAAAAATTCACAAAAAATTAGAAATACTAAAATTGTCTTCACATTTCAAGTCTTTGGTGGATTTTTTCCCATTAGCAAACATATTTTCTTTTTTTATAACGTATATTAACTCTTTACGTCTGTGGCCACTGCGAGTCTTTTTACTATACACATTGTGGGCTNCAGTAGAGACATTAAAAATAAATATGAAACCTGTTTTGATCAATTTAACAAACTCCTTCGTATGATAAATTTTTAAAAAATTGACATTGAGCAAGACTTGTATGTTAAAGTATGATATTGAATTAGAATAGTAATGACTTGCCCAAAAAGATTTTTTTTTAAATTAAATTTTCTTGTAAAAATGTTCATATTTATATCAATATCAGTATTAATAAATGGTTATCAAGTATTTATTTTAAAATGTTTATAATCAGTTTCTTAAATTGAGATAAAATATGTTTATATGAATTTGTATCTTGTATAAAGACTTTTTAAAAATGTTTTAGTTAATACAAAATTAAAAACATTACTTGATTTTAATAATTAATAAAATTGTCAGGATGATACATATACTGTACTTTAAAAATTCACAAAAAATTAGAAATACTAAAATTGTCTTCACATTTCAAGTCTTTGGTGGTGGTTTTTTTTACTCGTTGGGAATGGTATTGTAAGAGTTGATCTTTATCTCGAGGCTCTCGTTCATCTGAAAAAAATTTTTTTTTAGTTTAATTTATTGCTAATAGAATCAGTAACACAATAAGTTGTTAAAACAGACTACACATTTTGATATTTTGGACATTTTTAATATATTTGAAGATTAAAATAACATTTAGATTTATCTTCTGTCTGTTAATTGATTTAAGGATATTTTATTTTAAAGATAATTCTAAATTACATATTGTTTGCTATACAGTATATATAAATGTATTATTCACAGGGCTGGATTTTCATATAAGCTAGTAAGCTGCAGCTTAGTGTCTCATATTTTTACGTATATCATCATTGGATAGAGAAGGATCTGTTATGTTATAGCTAATCTTGCGTCCTAATGTATTGCTTTCCAAGCAAGGCTGGAAGCAATTTTCCGGTAAAGTAATGCTCGATGCACGTCACTAGGGTTTNAGAATTTTTCATTACTTATACTGTGACAAAACTGAATTTCAGTCTTTTAAATCGAAATAACTAAATAAGGGGACAGCGAAATTTTCCTTTGCCTCGGGCGGCTTACACCCACGCTACACAACTGGTTTAAAAACACTGATAATGAATGAAAACTACTTTTTTCTGTTCATTTTTTAACATTATGATTTTATGAAAAGCATTTAAAAAAACTCAAATGTCTTAATGTGTTGTTACAAATCATATTTAACTTTTAATGCAAACTAGAAATTTACGTTAATCTATTTTTAAGGAAAATTCTGTTTTGCTATAGTACTTGATTTATTATTCTAATAAACAGAATAATAAATCAAATACAGCAGATGTTTTTAAAACCAATACAAAAACAAAAAGTGTTCACACAGACAATTTGTATTTAACTTTTAATGCAAACTAGAAATTTACGTTAATCTATTTTTAAGGAAAATTCTGTTTTGCTATAGTACATGATTTATTATTCTAATAAAATAGAAATTGTTTATATTATACCAATATACCTGCATATTTGAATAATAATTCATTTTACATTGTTCCTTTTATTTTGCTCAATTATTTTACAAATAAATTTAATGTAAGATTACATAAACCAACATCTACCAATATCTACAAACCTGATGTACATACATAATACACCAACAACTACCAGATTATATCAGGCCCAATATATTCCAGTAATAGTTGGCATATTACATAATGTAAGATTATATTTATATACTTCATATATGCTGTTTCCATCAAATGCCTACATCTATCAATGTCAATAATATTATTATAAAACCTCAGACTAAGATACATTTTTATTCAGAGAAAATATAAATAGATACTTTCATATAATTTGACACTATATTATATCCTGCCACTTTACATTATGGGATTTCAGAGAATTATTTTATAATCAGAGCTGGGATGGCCAGAGGGCAGTGCAAATGGTGCAACTGCACAAGGTCCTGTAATCCTGCATGATCCAACTCTTGTATAAAAAATTGATCATTTCGTTTTCTGCTAATGTAACTAATTTTCGCTAAACTATTTAACAGATGGTATGTTTACCATTAAAATATTTTGTTGTTTGAAACTGTTGTTTTTATTATTATTTACAGGACTCACACAACAACTTTGTACCAGATCCTTCTTTTTCTTGTGCTGGCTTTGAACAGCAGAGCAATTAAGGTCGTCAGAATTTCTGTCCAAATCAAGAACATTTGAACTCTAACAATTGAAATTCCAAAAAGATTAGTAGTTAATAACTGTTCTTTGCATTCATTATTCTTTTTGTTCTTTTACTTGTATTCAGGAATAATTGCATGTAAAAAAGGAAAAAAGATTTTTATTTTCTTAGTCATGGAAGAAAAGATGATAACTTAAATACAGAAACTCTCTTCTTATTTAGGAAAATCTATATCTCTTTAGTACATTTACTGACAAACAGATCATCTGGGTTGTGTTCAGTAATACAGAACACCTAAGTTTGAATTCTGAGTGGCTTAGTAGGAGGAGCTAAGAATGTTCTGAGCATCATTGAACAATTATTCTTAGTTAAACAACTAGGCAAACTGGTGGATGAAGTTAAAATTATGATTGCAACAATTGTTGCAAACGAACTGGTCAAAAAGAATGAAGTAACCAATAAATTATTAAAATGGAAGCTGCATCAGATCGTGATGAAATTAATAAAGCAATAATTAATTGTAATCAATGAAATGGACCACTATCTCTGTTAAAATGTATTTGGAATCTGTTATACCAACGTATGATAATTTTACATTTTGAAGTCATTTTAGAATGAGTTAATGATTTAGAATGAGAGAATTGTGATAGTTATAATAAAATACGTTTAGTCAAACATGAGCAGCCATCTTGCAAATTGTATGATGAGACAAAAACAATGACATCACTAGTAGAAGTTAGCATAGATAAAAGAAGCTGACTGAACTAGCTAGAATTCTAGTGGTGGGAAGAGTCAAGCAATAGTTAGAAATGTGTTAAACATTGCAGCATAACTAGATTTCATAAGAATTCTGTATTACTGAACATGACCCTGTTCTTCATTTCTCTTAATGACTAACATTTTCTTTACTTAATATGATAACTTAGCATAACTAAAGCATCAGTCATAATAACACACATTAGTATATGGTGTTTGTAAAAGCAAATAAACTGCTACAAAGTCAGTAATTATCTCTTTGTCTGGATTGGATTTGAAGGGACGAAACTTTGTGCCTGATGAACATGTTTATACATTAACTAGCAGACCCGCCACGTGTTGTTGTGGCTCAAAATGTATCTATTATAAATGTATAACACTTCCCAGTGGGGGGAAATTTTTCGAAAAATTTCTTCTTAGTGTACATTCTGTTGACGTACCCTATTAAAACGCAATAAAAAACGCAAAAAACCGCCTCTAAAATAGTATAAATAGAAGCAGAGTTCTTTACGGTAAGCCTTAATCCTAACCATCTCCCCCAGTGAGGGAATTTCGACACGTATATTATATAAAAACACGTGCGTATTCGAATGCAGCGTTGTGTCAAAATTTCAAAGGAATCGGTAGGAACAAACGAACATTACATTTTTATTTATATAGATAGATAGATGATGATCTGCTTTAGTTCATTTTCACAGAAAAGCATAATGCCTCACAGGAAAGCAAACTTAGGGCGTCGTACTCATAGCGCCAGCTGTTGGACATAAAAGCCTTAACCTAGATTATATCTTTTAATTTATATGAATGTTTAATGGAATAATATACAGTCTATGTCCACCCTGAAGTTCTATTCTAAATATTGGTGAAAGAATTTTTGAAATCGGATGAGTAGTTTCGGAGATTACCTGCTGCATACAAACTTACATACAAACATTACCTCTTTATAATATTAGTATAGATTAGTTAATTTTAACTTGACATCACAAATAAAGATAGAAGATTAATTGATGTTTTAAACTTATTAACAGAATAACTATAATATAACAGACAGAAGGTATGATATCTGTTGCAATTAGTCTAGTTATTTTTTTTTTTACCAGATACATTGTTTATAGTAAAGTGACCAGATGTTTTATGTTGGAATGCAGATGTATCCAAATAAAAATTTAAAAAAATGCTTAATACATTCTTGAGGACCCCATTTTCTTAGTTTATTTAATTGCATGCCATTAAATGTCTTGGCTCTCTTTTTATGCTTTTATTAAT